TTAAAGAAAAAATATTGATTAAAACAATGTTTAGGGCATCCAACATTGAGTGAATGAGTACAGATTCAAAGATAAAACTTTGATGCAATTGAATGACTTCAAACATGGAAAGTCTTCTTGTGGAAGTATCCTGGAAAATTATCAGACAGAATATACTTGTTGGATTCATATAATAATCATTTTGCTGTTAATTAATTAATGCATTTGGATTTGGTCCGTTGCTAACTCTTTCTGATTTTTTATTGACTCTGCATCTGCATTTGCATTTGTCTTTGATTATGTATGTTTGTTTCTGTAAGAAGAATCTCAATGCTCATAACCTGTGTTTAGTAGAATAATCTCAGTTATCTCATCAATCCCTTGTCAGAAGACCTAACATGGACTACCAGAGGACTTGTGACCTGTGTCTTTCCATTCTTCCAGCACAAAAATCCAAATCCATAGCCGTTCTTTGGAGCAGCTACCTGGAAATGCACGGCAAAATTCATCTTCTGGCCATAGCTGTTGAAGATCAACTGGTTTGGTACCACGGTAACATTGATGCCACGAGGAGCAGACACAATTGCTTGGTAAATGCTCGGTTTTCCCACATTTGTCACTGTTCGCTTTACAGAGAAGTTGTCTTTGAGATTAGCCACGGTGATGGATGGATAATTGAGGTCAGACACCGTAGGTAATGTCTCATTACATGTGCTTCTGTCTCCTGTAATCAACCGGATGGACTTTTCATCATAATGAATGGAGCAGAGATATGTTTTGTAGTCTTCTGGTTGTAGGTCATAGATGAGGCCAGGATCAAGGACTCTTCTGGGGTTTACAAAGCCTGATCCATAATCAAAGGCACTTGCCCTTCTTCTGTCAGGATCCACTGTGATGGGCCTGTGTTTCTTGTTCAGGATGGTTGCTGCATACAACCAGATCATGCATTACTCAGCAATCCCAAGCAGTGATGAATCAATCATATTTTCAATTCAATTTCTTATTCTCTTCCAGAGGAGGAAAGAAAAACAGTTGTCCAAGGCTTAAATATGAACTATGGACTAAAGGAAATGTTAATTGATGCTAAATGTTTGTCTAGATCCATACTTATGACCATGAAACGAAAAACGCAAAATTTACCTGTCGTCATTATTGCAGATTTAATAGCAGAGGGCGACCATGAAGGATGGACAGCTTTAATCAAGGTTGCTATTCCTGTTATGTGTGGACAAGCCATGGAAGTTCCGGAAAGGATGTTGAATTGCATATTCCCAACTGCTGCTGGTGACCAGGCTGCCAGGATGTTCAATCCAGGGGCGGTGACATCAGGCTAGAAAGTAGAATGATCAGAAAACAAAACAGAGTTAGTGGAAAAGGCCTGAAGGGGAGTTCAGCAAAAGACTACAGTATCCAATCCTTCATGCTGTTGATCATTAAACTGACCTTCAAGATTTCTGGGGTTAAAGAATTCGGACCCTTTGAAGAAAATGCTGCCACACGGGGTGCTGGCCGAGATCCCAAAACAGTCTTTGCACGAAGAATCTTCGAGGTTGGGTTGCTGTTTAGAAGAACAAATAACGTGAATGAGAAATGCAGAGATACCTGAAAGCCAGAAACCGAAGTCTTAACAAATTGCAGAGCAAACCTTGTGTGATTAATGTAAGAAAGGATATTGTCTCCTGTCACTGTTCCAACTATAGCCGAAGGGATCTTAAAAGGCACAGCGACATCCTTATCTGCCTCATCAATGAGAATCATCCCAACTCCACCAGCTTTTTTCACGATCTCGGCCTTTGCCAGCTTCGACTCTGTCGAGCCCTCAGCATGTCGACAAACCAAAATTTTCCCTATGGCTTTGGTACCATTCAAGGAGTTGTCTAAACAGTAACTACAGAAAAAAGGAAAACGGTTAAATAATTACGAGTTTCCTCTTTGTTGGCTCCTGAACTGCAGTATTCCAAGTACCTGTTGCTTCACCTGGATTGGTAAGGAGTAAAGTATCCTGCATAGGCTTCAGAAGCAGAGATAATCCTGGCAGAGGCATCCATTCCAGTGAGGCTGAGACTTACTCCCTATTCAATGGCAGATAGCTGATGAGGCTCCAAAGGGTAGGACAATTTTCCAAAAATATATTAGCATAAGCAGGAGAATTAGTATTACCGTAAAGTTAGTACCGTCTCCCATAACAATATCAGATGTAAATTCCCTGTCTGTTGAACTAGCAGCCACAGTGATCATCCAGGGGGCAAGGTTAGTGGCAGAACCTTTGAACCCTTCATTTCCAACAGAAGAAACTACCAAAATTCCATGGTTAACAGCATGGAAAGACCCAATGGAGATGGCATCATCGAAGTAATCTCCCTGGGGAGCTGCAGGACCCAAAGAGACAGACAAAATGTGAACCCCATCTTTAATTGCATCATCAAAGGCAGCTAGTAAGTCAGCATCATAACAACCAGAGTCCCAACAAGTCTTGTATACTGCAATCCTTGCCATTGGTGCACCTCCTCTAGCTCCCCCAGCAGCCAACCCTTCATAATTCATGTTTGCCACATAACGACCAGCAGCTATGGAGGCTGTGTGGCTGCCATGGCCCGAGCTATCCCTTGGAGATCTAAATGACACTGCAGATGTTGAATCCTCTTCAGCTTCATATCCACTCATGTAGTACCTTGCTCCAATAACCTTCCTACATGAGAGATTTGTTTGCCTAATGAGTTCCAGGCCCCTGCTTATCCATCAACAAAAACCAACCAAAAATTACCATGAACAAACCTGTTGCAAGATGAAGAATTAAATCCCTCCCCTGATTGACATTTCCCCTTCCATCTAGCTGGTACTGGAGGCATGTCAGTATCACTAAAACTCGGCGATTCAGGCCAAATTCCTGGGTCAGATTAAAATAAAACACAAGCTATTTTATTGTCCATACAAATAAATAAATTCCAATTATGCAGAAATTCATGTTATTTTGATCTCAATTTTTGTTTCCAATGAAGTCAACTTGTGCATTTTTCCTGCAGCCAAATATTGCATTTTCTAATGAACATAGATGTTTCCCCTTACCTGAAGTAACAGACAGAGTAAAAGTAGAAACAGAGTATAATGAACCATATAAAGATGAGAAATGCCAGGGTGGACCTGTGTCAATGAAGCCAACGATGAGATCGACCTGGCTACTGGTGGAATACCCTGGAATCTCCGTCGCTTCATCTCCAGCGAGGCCCATGAAATCCCATGAATGAGTTGTGTGCAACCTTCTTTTTGCATTCGGAAACACAGAGATCACGCCGGGCATTTCTGTTTTCAATTGAATGCATAAGAGGAATTTGGAAAAAGAAACACCAAAATCCAGAAGAAGAAGAAGAAGAAGAAGAGCTCACTGGCAATTTGTGAAGCTTGGTCCTCGGATAACTTAGCTGCAAAGCCTCTGAAACCATGTCTGTAACTGTAAACATGAGACACCTGCGCTTTCTCGATGCTGTTTTTGAAAACCCAATTCCATAAACAACCGTTCATTGTCCAAATCAGGACAAACAGAAAAAGAAAGAACCCAGAGGAGAAGAAAACTACCTTCCACCATGGACAGCGGCCAGCATTTGGTGGTGGCGGTTCAGACCACCATCTGGGTCTTCACCCGTCGCGCTTCCCATATACACTATATGGACCTACACCCACCACAAACAAACAAAAACTGACCAAAATATCTTAAACAGACATCCAAAAATCACCACAATCTGATCCTATATCACCTTTGCAGAAATGCAGATACCAATTTCTGCAAGAAAAACACCCAGAAACAGACTGAAGACTACCCAAGTCCTCAAAATGGAAGCCATTGGACTTGTAATGATCCAAAAATCAAATCTTTAGGATAACCCAGAAGGCCAGGAAGAAGAAGAAGAAGACTTTAATTTATAAGAATCACAAAACCAAGGAAGATTAATGGAAGAATGTTACTGGGAGCGGTGGAATAATGTCAGGAACAAACTCCATAATCAATAAAGGAATTCAGAACACGACAGAAACAACCATAGGAAGAAAGGATCATGCTTTTTCAGCAAGAGAAACCAACCAGTGCAGCATCAGGGGTCCTCACTGTATCCTTGGGCCCTGGCATCAGCGACCTTTTTTTTCTCTGTTTTTTTTCTTTTTTCTTTTTTCTTTTCTCTTTTTTCTTTTTTCTTTTTTCTTTTTTCAAAATAAAAGTTTTTTTGTTTTCATTTTTGGGGCGTTAAATCAGGAATCATTGAGAAAGAATCCTAAAAATTCCTAATCATTAGAACACAGAAAGAGGTCACAAGGTGCACTTGAGCAGGAGGCACCTCAAGGCTAAAAGCAGCAAATAATGATTACTGAGGCTGATTTTCACGGTTTCACCATCATGATAGTAATCTCTTTAACTTCAAATTAGCATCTTCATTGATAATTGTTGCGCCTGTAAGTTGAAGTTGGTTGAAACACAACTTACATAAGAGTTGATTTAAGACATTATATATTTGAGTTTTGGTAGATCAGTGACATTTTATCAATTTTCAAAATTTTATCTTACATCTGGTGTCATTGTCTTTGGTTTAATTGTTGGTGTCACAAGCCTAAGACCTTAGTGACCGCTAAGTCATGATATTTTCAAGATTCTAAATATAAAAGAAAAAAAAAATACATACTACACCTTCAATAATTTTGAGATGACTCTTGATAAAAAAAAAAAAAATGTTGGTTTAGTGTCAGTTTGGGGTTGAAATAACCAAATGTCATTAACGTTTCATGTTTGCATGTTGAATTTATTAGTAGTATTTTTTTTTTCTCATTTTCAGCTTGAGTTGATTTTTTTCTTGAGAAAAAGACAGATAAGAATATAAATTTTGATATTTATTTTATCTAAGGATACAAACTTTTGAGTTTTTAAATTAGGTTATAAACTTT